TGCCATTATTAAGCTTGTGATCTACCAGAACTCCCAGATCCTTCTCCACCATTGATTCCCCCAGTTGTACCCCCCCCTAGTATGTATGATGCATGCGTATTCTTAGCCCCCAAGTGCAGAATCTTACATTTATCAACATTAAACCTCATTTGCCACAATTTCCTTTAAAGGAAAGTTGGCAACCGAATGAAAGAAAACTTCAACACATAATATAATTTAAATCTGTAAGGATAAAACACGGAAATCTAGTACAAAACACTATATGTGATGCTTTTTTTTTTTTTTTTGCTGTGAAGCTGAACATACATGACTCGGGTCCATTACACTTCCTCAGACTGGCATGCGGTATAGTATTTAAGATTCCAGCTCTATGGGCTCTGTACAGAAGTGTTAATGATAGGATGGTTGGGAAGGAGGGAGGGAAGGGGGGCGATGTTGGATCCCATTGTTTAGCACTGGCTTGGTGGTTACTGTATATCAGAACATAAAGATATGGACCAATTGTATCAGCAGATGTCAATCCACAGAAATATATATTCCTGTGTGGGAAAACAACATAAAACACTGTTTTTGTGTTGATTTCTTCTTATCTTCCTTGTTTTAAAGGATAACTATGATGTGTTTGGGGTAAGTAAACATTTTATGTTAATTTTTCATTATTTTTGACATGACTTCACTTCCTTGCTGTTTCATATTTCGAATGTTGTATGCCAGGGAATGTTATTACAATTTCTTGCTTAAAGCCAAACTCCAGCCAAAACCTCTTGCCTTGTTGTGAATAGAGCAGAGAAGGGTTAGAGCTCCTATCCCGGATTTTTGCTGTCTGTGTCCCTGTTGGGGAGATTTGCTCCCTGGTGATGGGATCTATCACCAGTGGGGACAAAAGGTACATTTTTCATAATGAGGGGATGGATTAAAACTATTTTTGATTTTACTGTCCATCCTTCCCTGGCCTGGTGACAACTGTACTCCCTCTCTCTTATATGGGAATTTATGGAGAAAGGAAGTGAGGGACCCCCAACTGGGGCTGCAGATAGAAATTTAAATTCTTCCCCTCTCTATCCAAAATTATAAGAAATCATTAAGCTAGAGTTACAAATTTTTGAGGACCGTTAATTAGCCTTATCAACCTTGCATACAATCTGTTGTATTTGGACAGTTAGACCCAATTCATAGACTTGTACGGAGAGGAGCAGTGTAAAAGTCAGTCAATGCACAATATTACTAATGAGGAAGCAACAAATCCAAGAAAAAAGAGGGATATAGCCTCAATCACAATTAATATACAATAAAATAATATATTTATTGAATCACATTAAAAGAAATGGTGGGTGAAATGACATAACCACCATCACATACATAAATACATGTATTTACAAAGCAACTTGTATAAAAAACATACAAATACATGGCTGTAGTTGCATCCTGCTGATGAATCCCAACACGTTTCACAGTTTTATAGCTGCTTCATCAGGGAACCTCGGGATTATTGCAGCATCAATTAAAAGCTTTTTTGGCTGATCCTGGAAGGATGTCATAAAATTGGCCTAAAAAGGCTCCCTCTACATAGGTAGAACATGGGAAGGAATAAACTGGACACTGGGCCAGAGAGAGGGGAGGAGGAACAAGAGGTCGCAGTGAGCCTGTATATTCCCAACTAAAATGGCAGCCAAAGAGGGAAAAAAGCCACAATGATGTCAAAGATCAAGGGTCCTCACTCAGCTCCATGACCTAGAGAGGCAATGAGGATGCAGTGTTTGCATATGTAACACTAGTATGTTTGTACAGTAAAATAGATATTTAATTTTTTGGCCAATCAGTCCTTTCACAAACTATTTCACAATACAAATGTCCTGCGTGCTGGCTGATTTGGTGTTAGAGTGTTCTAAATCAGGGGTCGCCATACTTTCTAAGCAAAGGGTCAGTTTACTGTCCCTCAGATTTTAGGGGGGGGGGGGCGGACTGTCGCCAGTGAGAGTAAACAATGTCTCAATCTTGGTAGTCAGTGGGTGTAAACAAGTTACATAGTGCCTATGGTCAGCAGAAGGAAGAATAGTTCCCCATCATTGATATTAGTTGGAAATATAGTGCCCCATCCTTGGTATTAGTGGGAGGAATTGTGCCCAATCATTTATAGCAGTAGGGGGGGGGGGGGGGAATTATGTCCCATTGCATTGTTGGTGTCATTGGAAGGAATAGTGCCCCAATAGTGATGTCAGTGGAAGGAATAATGCCTCATCATTGGTGTAAGCGGAAGTAAAATGTCCCATCATAGTGGGAGGAATGGTTTCCACTGTTGGTGTCAGTGGGAGGAATGGTGCCTTATTGTTGGTTTTATTGAGAGTAATAAAGCCTCTTGTCAAAGTAAGCAATAGTACCTCCTCATTTCAGAGGCAGAGTGTCCCAGGGGCCACATACAGGCAAGCAAAGGGCCACATCAGGCTCACGGGTCACAATTTGGAGAACACGGTTCTAAATGTATTGGAATTCTTATATTTACTTTCACTGAATGTTACCCACTTAATAAAGTGAGGCTTCAACGTTTATTGCAATATAAGAAGACTAAATATATGCTTTATTAAATACACTCTTTCAGGTTTTGTTGACAAGACATGCTGGGACATGTAGCCCCTTGAAAAAGTTTCAGCCATGTTTTATTATGCACTTCCGCCATATTTCTGCCAGAAAATGACAAAAGCCTTCATTAAAACGCACCAACCACAAACCTGGGCAAATACCACCAAAAGAAAGCACTATTTGTGTGAAAAAATTATGTAAATTTCATTTGGGTACAGTGTTGCATGACCTAGCAATTGTTAGTTAAACTAGCGCAGTGGTGAGTAGCAAAAAATGGCCTGGTCATGAAAGGGGTAAAAAACTCCCGAGGAAAGGTTGTATCATCATGATAGCACTGTAACATCTTTAGTCGCTCCAATGTATATCTACGCATAGAAGTTATCTGATCACCTATGCCTTTGGTGGAGGTCTCTGGAGGTCCAGTTGTGTGCAATTTGCAACATATAGGACGCCAAGTTCATCATTAAAGGAGACTTGTACTAACCAAAGTAGAGGAGATGCCACTTCTGACCTCCATCTACGAGTGCTAGCTTCCTGGTGGTCTCTGGCATACTTGCTCTAGCCCAGTGCCTCAGAAAGTATTGGGGCCATTGAACCAAAATAACATCCAGGCAACAGGCATTTCCAAAATGACAGCTCAGGAATGGCAGCTTTCATATTCTCCCAGGTTTTCCAGTTTCTAAAAGAAATTGCAAAGCTTTTCACAGATCTGACTGGCGGAGGATGACCCGCTTGGAACTCCACCAGGCAATTGAAATAACAGCATTGCCAAGCAGTTCTAAGGCTACTGCCACTTGAAAAGCTGCTTGATTTTCTCTTGCATGACACATCCCCACTTTGGAAATCTTTTATTGTTTTTAAGCAGAGATGCATTAAGATGAAAAAAAGAGCCAATTTGCTGTGATCTGTGGGAGATCTGTTAGGTCCAGAGCTGGCACATCCACAAGGCAACCTACTGTATGCAGGAACCCAGAGCCCGGCGGATGTCCAGGGGACACCATTACAGCTCTAATGCTCCTGTAATAACCCAGGGTAATAATGCAGTTGGTCAAAGCTGTGCACCAGCCTGTCACTGCAGAAGGGGAGATGCACTGCTAAGAAGCTGCTTTCTGATGGGTCAATTCCGGTACAAACTTGGAAAATGTGCCTACAGAAATGTAATTTGAAGGAATGGACAGCCAAAGTTTCTACCCTGCCTAGGGCCATGTTCTTTTTTCATTTGTACTTGCTAGGACAGATAATCAAAAGCTGTTCCAGGTTTGTAGACCCTCACCATCAGCACCAAGAAGTAAAATCTGATTGGCTGGTAAGGGCAACCAGACTTTATACATATTAACAGTACTCTGTACTGCTTGAGTGCATAAAGTCAGCTATGCACAGACCTCCAGATTTTCTGCAGTGGTGACTTGCATGTACACACCAGTGTTGCCAACCTCCCGCAGCATTTTTTACTTTTAACGAAACAGAAAATTTACTGCCGGAGCACATTTTTTACTGACTACCTGAAAAAATAACATTAGAAACTAAGGCAATCAATATTTAAACAGTATAAACACAATACAGAAACACTGACAATACCCATAACAAGTAATTTGACTGGTTTACACTTACAAAAGTCAACACAGCATGACAAATTATCAGCCCCTGATATTTAAAGTGTTACTAAACCCAGGACCCTGCATTCACTATATCTGGTCTCCCACAGTACACACAACATGGAAATGCAATTATTTTAGCAAATATAAGTTGCTAAATACCTTTCCTCATAAACAGGAACATCAGTCTTGTGACTTCTATCTGTGTCCAGCAGAGCACTGGTTAAAGCTTGTAGGAGGAGTTTTATTTCTGCTTTAGGAGGATGCAAAACCCCTGACCTCTGTCTGGACAGTGCTGATTGGCCCTGTGCAGATCACATGCACTCTCCCAAGAAGAAAAAAAACCTCTCTAGCAATACACACCAAAGTGAGTATGTGCAAAATGCCTATGGTTCAGTCTGTCTTATCAGGAAATAAGAGGTGGTCGCTTAAACAAGGAGAGGAACAGAGCAATCAGAATCAAACAGCCTTTTTACACAATGCAGAGGGTTAACCCCTTAGGTTCCACAGTGAGTATAACAAGCATGCTTTACTGCACATACAGACTGATTTTTCTGTTGTGGGTTTAGTAACACTTTAAAGACTGATTTTTACAAACTGTCTGTAAATTTACTGATGGTTGGCAACCTTGGCACACAAATAAAAATACATGCTTTTCCCTAGAGATTGGTTGGATGTTTATGCACTGTATCTCTATGGCTGGCTTATGTACATCTGCATCCTCTGCATGCCCTATGGTTTGGATTACAGCACGTGTTTGCAAACAGTACTGCTTTATTAAATGCGTTCAAATAGCTGAGCTTTGTCTCTTTATTTTCTGTACAACAGTGTGAGGCAGAGATGTCTGGAAGAGCAGAAGAGGAGGAGGCAAAGAGCCACCAAGAAAATCATCACATATATTGGAACATTTCTGCTTTGTTTTACTCCATATGTAGTTACCAGGTAAGTGATAAGCATGAATTAGCCTTCTGAGCCACTTTGTGATTATTCATTCATAATAGTTTGTACATAATGTGACATATATACTATATACTGTGTATATATATATATATATATATATATATATATATATATATATATATATATATGATCTATGGCCTAATATTAAAAAAAGATATGGGATGCTGCACTTAAAGTGATTGTAAAGGCACAGTTTTTATTTTCTTAAAACTAACAGACATGTTATACTTACCTGCTCTGTGTGATCCTTCTCTTCTTGGGTCCCTCTGCTTGCTCCATAAGGCACACAGAGAGTGGCCTGGCCCCACCCCCGCTCCCTCTTCACTGGCTGTGATTGACAACAGCAGCCTAAGGCTCCTTCTGATGTGTCTCAGCCAATGAGAAGAGAGAGAGCCAAGAGAGCTTCTGCTCTCATTCACATTGCTGGATCCAAATTGGGCTTAGGTAAGTATAAGGGTGGGGGGATGAGGGAGGGCTGGGGGGGGGGGGGGGGGCTGCTTGCAGAAGAATATTTTAACTTCATGCTTAGAATGTATGAATGTAAAAAACCTTCTGCTTTTAGAACTAATTTAAGTCATTTGCATGTAGACTCCTTTACTCTTAGTCACTCTGCAATGCCCCATAAATACCTGTCAATCCTACCAGTGAGATCCACCTATTGCATCTTCCTGATATGTTGTGGCAACAATGCTGCACTACTCCTAATTTCAGAACAAAGTTGCCACTCTCATGTAGGCTGTACCTGCTTGCACTACACTGGGATTAAAAAAAAATGCAGGGGGAATATCAACATTGTCACAGCTAAATCATAAGCCTGTAGCTTTTCAAACAGCACCTGACCACACCTAGCCTTCCCATTGCTGTCTGATGTGACAGCACTGCCTCTGCTGCTAAAACCCTCCCACTTTGAGCTGCAGTGTCCAGGATGGGGAATGCATGAGACAAACGATGGAGAAGGTAGAATAAGTTTTGCATTGACTTTATGGGGCTTGGGCACCACATACTATCTAGAGTTGGAAATTGGAATAGAAGAAATGGATAAATCCCAAGCATCCGTGCTTATTGTAGAAACTGTCCACAAAACATGTCAATGACAGTCTCCGCCCTAGGACTGCCACCTCTAACATGGTCCTAGGACTGACAGTCATTGCCATGTTTTGTGGACGGTTTTTACAATAAACACAGATGCATTTCTTCTATTCCAAGTACCAACTCTAGTTAGCATGTGATGCCCAAGCCTCATAAAGTAAACTGCCTTTGCCATGTTTGTGGATGCTTTTGGTTTATCCAGTACTCAATGGCTCGTTCATCTATTCCTGCCTATTCCTGGTCAGAGAGAGTAGATGACTCAGCTTGCCTCCTGCACCTGGGATCCACGTGGGGCCGGGGAGCAGTAGCTTGGTGCGGAGAGTCTTTCTAGTTAGCTTTGGTAGATTTAATTCTACTTGAAATCAAAGTTGTGTTATTCTAAACTTATAAAGGTGTGGTTATAAAGACAGGGCAAATCCAGGCTCCTCTGCTGGCAAGAGGACTTTACAAATAAAGGTACTGGGTGAATCTGTGACGAATAGGGATTTTATTTTAGAAAATTAAATCACATGGAGTTTGTTTGTTTGTTTAGCCTGTGTTAGTATGATACTTTGCCTTGCATTACTGGATTTTAGTTCTCCCGGCATCTGAAATAAATATCAGTGGAGGTATGTATGTTCAGCCTGTGGTTTGGGGATTCTTTGGCTTGCCTTGAAGTGTTGTCTCAACAGCAGGCACACAGTCTTCATGGGGTGTATTTGCCTGCCTTTGTTTGTGTGATGCTATACATTATTTTGCTGGGCTCCTGACTTCTCTTGGAACCAGTGACAAGGGATACATTTTTTTTATACTCCAATACATACCTAGGACAGCTAAATTCTGTGTGTAGAAAACAAAGAGAAGGCGAGCGCTCTAGGATCAGATAGAAATCAGCTGCAAATGCACTAAAAGGAACCCTAAACCTTACACATAATACAAACAGAAAACAGTGCAGTGCTGAAAAGTGACAAAACTTAGTATAACCATGAATTGTAAAGATTAATTAAATAAATCATTATCCGTGATAAAAATATATTCAATATAGATGAGTGATGCGCTATGGATGGCGCAGTGAAGGAAATTTGTGTGACTAAACCAGTCTTTAGACAAGGAGTGTTCATAGAATGGAGAAAGCGTGACACAAAAGGGTCCGCATACAGTATTGAAAACAGGTCCTGTTATGCAGGTGACAGCAAAATACTTAAGGCGATGTCCTGTGTGGTTCTATCTGTGCAGGAGGTAATGAAAATGCGCACTCACCAGATGCGCATACTCAAAACGCGGTGTGTTGAAAGGTGTACTTCAACTAGGAATCAGCAGGAAGCCCCCTTTAAACAGACTGGGCAACGTGGGAAAGGATCCCTCCTCTGGGCATGAGACTCCTCTGCAACTGCAAATCCGCTGGGGTCCTGGGAATTATTATCTCAGAAAAGAGCCAAACAAGATGGTGCTCATATTGTAGTAAATTCCAAATTTATTAGGTAAAAAAGTTGAATAAAACACTTCCACATGGAGTACAGCAAAAACACAGCATTAAAGAAAGTTGGGGCTGAACAGCCACTCACTAAAATGACCAGCAGACCTCCTTGTGGCTCCAGCGGCGTGACATCATGGCGTACGGCTCCTCCTTGACGCGTTTCGTGCACGCGCACGTTCTCAAAAGGAGTGTGCCTCCAAAAATTCTGTGTGTGTTTAATTGTCTGTAGCAGGGGCATTAGACTATAATCTCTGCAGGACAAGAACTGATGTAGATGGATCATTATACATTGTAAGGTACAAAAGACTATTGCAGCAAAACACAATCAAAATAATTAGTAATTTTCAGATTTTTAAGTTTTTTTTCTTTAAAAGGGCCCCTGGCCTTTCAACCTAGCCAATAGTATAGTATCCCTTATTTGATTTGTGATTCTCTAAGATAGTATTGTTGTACAATGAGTTCTAACAAAACTCCCCATCAGCAGCTATGCATTCACACAAATGAGTCTACAGGCGTACCTCGGTTTACAATTTTAATGCATTCTGCGGGACATTTCGTATTGCGAAAAATTCTTAAACCGAAAAGCGGTTCCCCATAGCAATGCATTGAAAACCAGTTAATCCATTCCAGAAGTCAGAAAAAAGTAAAAAAAGTCTTTTATCTGTTCAAAACTCTTTATAAAGGGCAGTTTAAAGGCATAAATACTGTACAGGGACATCTTTAAAAAAAAATTTGAAAACCAATTAATCCGTTCGTATTGCAGAAAAAATTTGTAAACCGAGCCATTATTTTCAATGGATTTTCATTCGGAAACCGGAAATTACGTTAACCGAGGCGTTCGTAAACTGAGGTACACCTGTATTTATAAATCATTTATTGCTTAAAACTTTTGTGAAAGATGAACACAATTTCACTGCATGTTTGCTAATAGATGAACTCTTGTATCATCATCAGCTCTCCATCTAGTGGACAAAATGCAGTATAGGTTTCTGAATTACATTAACGAGAAAATATGCTACTTTTTCTCCTTTAGATAGAGCTAATGATACAGGAATTATTAGGAAGCGGACAGTGAAATTTCATTTGCACAGATATTTCTGAAATTTGCGCAACAATTTTTTTTATAAATAGACCACTAAGCATGGGGAAGATGAACCATTTACTATTTTTTTCCAATCATTTTTGTTATTGGACAGAGTGGTACAAATAAAATTAGATAAATGTCAGATAGCAGTATCATATTATAAACAAGGAGAGATCCTTCCCCTTCTTCACTCTGCAGCCCTGCACCCTGGAGATGGTAAACCATAGTCAGCTTCACCTTAAGGAGTAGGGTAATTCTCACTCATACTGCAGAAAGTTCCCATCTATGCCTTAGGTTACATGGAGATTCTAGTACCACAGAGTATCTGACAGTTGTACATTATATACATTATAACTAAAACGTTTAGAACAAAAATACTGCAGAACCATATTAGGTTCCCAGTGGCCAACAACACCTTTGTTAGGCTAGGTATCCCTTCAAGTTTGTACCATTACATCAATAATAATCTGGAATGAGAATCAAATTTTAGAAAGAAAGAGAAGTGAGGTAGAGTAGAGAGAAAAGAAAAGTGAAAAATCGATCACCCCATTCCTGCTTACCGACCCCCAGGCCACCCAGCCCACTAGGGTGATTGGAGATATCTGATCCAGGCATTCCAAATCAAGGCTGTTTGTCCTGGAGTAATGTTCCCAGTTGTGTAACATAGTGTCCTCTTGCCCACACCCCCTGAAACATAGCGGTGAGGCATCAGGATAGATCTTAGACAACTGTGTCAGAATGAGATACCAACAAGACAGCACTTTGTAATTCGTCTCCACCAGGGAAGTGTTGAGAATTCTCCTGTGCACCATAGTGGACCATTGGGACCAAACTTCCTCCTCTATGTTTCCCCTAGATCCAACTCCCAAGCCGTTTGGTAAGAAAATTTAGGGTCTTGGTCTGCAAACAGGGAGTATAACTCCGAAATGCTGACACACATACACCTGTTCTCATAAAGGGTCCTGGTAGTGATATCCGCCTGATCTTGGCTCAAAGTCTGTAAAAAATGAGTGATTTGACAAAGGCAGAAAGTCTCCGAAGTAGGATACAAGAAAGCTGTCTAATTCCTTTGTGGTCTATAAAGTGGGTTATTCTAAAAAGGCCAATTTACTAGTTTTTATGAACATTATCAGGAAAATAACAGTTGTATAAACTATGCCCTCACATGACTATTTCAAATTGATTTGAAGGTGTATTGCTTCCCCCATTGCATTGCTGGATTTGTTCTTCGAAGGCTTTAGGCACTGTTCCCCATTGATTTCTCAGTATCACTCCATGAAGAATGCAGTGAGTTAACTGTTATGGCAACAGTGACCCATATACAAAGAACTTGGAGCACTGCTCAAAGTACTA